GTTAATTTCAATAATTTTTGCAAACAAAAATTATAAATAGATTCTTATATATATTTTAACATCTTTAAAAACATTTATGAATTTGTATATTTAAAAAGAAGGAAAGGATAGAAAAAATTTAGCCAGATGCAGTATTTCGAAGAAAAGAAACAAAATACGAATGTAATCATCGTAAATACTCTAAGGGTAAAATTATTATAATAAAAAAATAATATTGTTTGTAATCTACATTATATACATATTTTCAATTTGTGAAATATGACACAGAAAAAAAAATTTTATTTTTTGAAGAAATTAAATATATTGTAAAGATTATATTATTTAATCTTTTTTTCATAAGGATATTTATTGGCGTAAAATCTCATGTGATCTCATCACTACATACTATTCGCTGGGTGCGTGATCACTTATCGGTCGCAAAAAAGCAAGCGGTGTTATTACGATATATGTACAAATTATAAGGTCGACGTTTCTAAAGTGTAAAATTACATTTTTAGATATTGTACAATATATATGAATATTCTCCTTAAAAAACACAAACTTTAAGTAACTAATGAATTTTTTTTGTTTTAGATAAATATGAATGTTATCATTAAGATTGGATTTGCAAGAATTAGGCATATAATTATTTTTCAACCAGTGACAGAATGCAAAAGAAAAGTTTTAGTATCAACTGGATAAATGAAGTAAATGAAGTAGAAGAGCATAGGAAAAATGATCAAAGTTAAATAAAAGTTAAAATTACAAAGCAAACTGCAATAAATGAACCCTATGACATCACAAAATGTAAATAAAATTATTTCCATTTTGTAATTGTATATTAAAACTGTTACTTATAATTTTATTTAAAAAATTGTTTTCTTGTAGATAAATGCTGTTATGTCATGTCGCTGTTGAAATTTTCTCTGTTTTTTGAGTCAATGCATTTAAGCAATTTACCCGGGGATCGGAGATCAAGTTGTGCGGTTGAGAATGTTCACTGGGAAGGATTGGATAATTATTCGGAAGGGTAATCTTGAACCCGGTGCCAAAAAGATTACGAAGCTTATAGGCGAATCTACGTTCGTCATCTACGTGGATCGGCTTTTCGAATGTCCTTGTAGTTAGGAAATGTGAGATTGATCTCCAATTTCTTGAGAGTATATACGCGTTCACGGATTAAATCTGCCGGTTTGTTTTGATCTAATAACTGCGCTAATTTTTGGAAATAAGGGAAAAGATCGTGATTTGAAATGAGAGCTGATTTTATTTGAAATCTTAATCTCTTTTCTTGTAATTGTCTTCGTCCGCCTTTAGTAGGCATGGAGGTAATACAAAAGAATTATCAATCCGAAGAACTGTAAGAACCGTAAGATGGGGGCCACGCTATTGGCAGCGACAGTCGTAACAGTTCTCTGGATATGAGATAATTATCAATTCTCCGAGAAAGTACTATAAGACGGAGGTCACGCTATTGACAGCAACAGTCGCAACAGTCCTTGGATATTCATGTATACGTACTTGTATGTAATTGAATGGAACGCAGAGATTTATTAGGTTTCAGCCGATTCAATTCAGTATTTTCGTTTAATAAAAAAAATAGAACAATGCGAAAGAAAAACATATGAGTGTGTTACCGACGAAGCGCGAGGATAGTTCTTATCTTGATCTAACTATACTGGATAAGTTTCTACTTCTGCTTTTCGAATGAATTGAATGAATTGAATGACCAATTTCTACTTTTGGTAACTCCTTTTATATCTTGGAAATGAATGTGGGAGTATCCTTTCAGGACCAATCAATACTCCTCAAGGTTTGGTAGAACCTATACTCGCGCTTGTTTCCTTAAGATAAGGCAGCAAGGCTCCGCATAAGCCCTACTCCCCACTCTACAAGTTTAATCTTAATAGGTGATAGTTGAGAGTTTTAATAATTTATAATAAAAATTCGGTCTTCCTTAACTAACATCCTTATGCGAGGCGAATCTACTACATTCTGAATCATATATCTAAAATTGATTTATTGGAAGAAAAAAAAGAAGAAAAAGATATTCGTCCTCGCATTCGGGAAGATTTCTATTTTGCTGTTAATTGCTTAATTGCTAAATGCTAATGTAATATACATTATCGCTATATAATATTAATATACGCTTTTATTTATTATTTTATAGAAAGATTTCTTTGAGACAGATCGTGAGATATTCTTAAACATTCTTTAGGATAGATAGTCTGTGTGACGCATAAAGGTATATAACGTGATTTATCTGTTGGTTTGATTATTCAAATAAAGGAACTAAATATCTTCCTATAAAAGAGAAAAGGAATTTTCGGTTTTAAAATAAAGATAAAATAGGGATGAAATATTAAGACTAAGATGTTACTAACCTAAAGATAGGATAAAAATAAGATATAAATTATATATTTATAATAAGGAAAGAGAGAATTTTATCGGGATGTAACAAGATGCAGATATACATAAAAGTTACTTGCAAGTGTGTGTATAACAAGAATGAAAGATATAAACAAATCGCTGCCTTGATTCATTATGTTAATAATGAAGACAGTTCACCAAAAACAAGTTTTGAGCAACAGTGGGGAAAATCAAGTTAATTTGCGAAGCTGAAATATTCAAAGGGAATATATATTTTGAGGAAATATTTCCTCCAAAAAAATACAATATTAAATCACAAGTGATGGATGTTTCTGAATTAAGAGATTGACATTTATACACAAAACTACATTTTACAAAAGGATTTACAAGATTTTTATAATAAACATATTGTAATAACAGAAGACATAATTATTTTGTGTTGTGAGACATTAGATCAATCAAAAAGTAAAAAATGCTGCTAGACGCTTAAGATTTTCTGCGAGTTCTAATGTGCACAATATTAAGGTGCGAGAAACAAAAAACATAGAATTATTAGTATCTAGCATATTACATCCAAAACAAATTAGTACTGCAACAACAAAGTATAGTTTACATCAAGAAATAAATGCAAAAATAGAGTATGAACGATTACATAAATGCGAGATTAAACAAATTGATGTTCTTGTTAATCATAAGCAATCTTGGCTGTATGCTAGTCTTGATGGAGTGGTGGTTGAAGACGGATGCATAACCAAATTAATGGAATTGAAATGTCCTTCAACGTGCGAAACTCAACCTGTGATAAATTATGCCACTAAAACCTGCAATGTTAAATATTTAAAATTTGAAAATGATGAAGTTACTTAAGAGATACATATCCACATTATACGCAAGTGCAAGTACAAATGTATATTTCTGGACTGAGTGTCTGTGATTTATTTATATGCTCAATCGAAAATGGAAGTTGTACAGTGCAAGTTATGCGAAATAAAATTTTTTGCATGAAAGTATTTCAAAGAGTAAAAAACTTTTACTTTATGTATTATTTACCAGCTTTACATTCAGATATAACAGTGAAAAAATGTGATAAAAACAAAAAAGTTAAGCCAACTCGTGTTTTTTCAAGAAAAAACATTAGCAATATTAAAAAATAGTTATATTGAACTTTACTGATAATAATTTTTTAAGAAAAATGTTTAATAGTTTATTTAATATTTGTTAAAAACGTTTGTGCTACTAGCCTTACTTTTATTTTATAAATCAATTATTTTTGAAAGTCAAACTTGTGATTATTTAAATATTTAGCTTTATTTTAAATATTATTATTGCTTAAACATAATATTAACATAAAAAGTGTTATTTGACACTACAAAGAAAATAAATTTATGTGAATTTTGTTTGTAAATTATACAGTTTATGTAAAATCAAACGAAAATTTATGTTAAAACATTAACATTTATTGTTAAAAAAAAAATAAAATTGACATTTTACAAATAAATGATGGTTTATAAATAATACAAATATTATTTATATTTTATTTTCCTTTTTCTTATTTGAAAATATTGAAGGTTGCAGATTCATTAAAACATATATGCACAATATCATCTATACAATGAAATAGGTTTTCAGGAATTTTGTCCAAAATTTGATAAATTTTTAAGCGTTACGTTATCCTTTCTACGCGAATTCTGATTCTGGCAATATTATATGTTAGTTCAATCTCTTCCTTCATAAACTCTGATTTTCTTTGTAAAAAAGATAACATAACTATTCTGACTTCCTTACCACTTTCATCAATAGTGCGAATCTCTGGAAAACCCTTATCTGCTAAAACTACATCTCCATCTTCTAAATAATCTATTAATCCAAACTCAATTGTTATTTGAGAATCGCTTTTCCTTCCTCCACTTTGGATTTAAAACTAATAAAACCTTCTGGTGTTATATCTATCAGTACTTTAGCAGTAAAACCTTTCTTATAATGAGAATAACAAAAGACACGTTTATCTACATCTGTTGGAACTTCAATCCTAAATTCAGTGCAATCGATAATTATCCGTGTAATCTAGTTAAAAACATTCATGCATTGTACCTTGAACAATATCTTTATTTGGCTAAAAAACTAATTGGCTGTTGTATTACTAAATGTCTTAGAGTTGAATAGGAAATTCTTGAAATAGCTGTTCTATGAACATTAAATAGAATATTTATTGCTGAAAAACCTGTTTCCATTTGTATTAAAAAAATAAAAAGTCTATTTTCCTTTGTAATTTTACATTATCTTCATCTATTCATTGTCTATATCCATTCTTTTTAATAAAAATTAATTTAATATTATTTATTGAAACTTCAAGGTTTATAAGCTGTTCATTGCGAACCAATGAAATACCAGCAAAATTATGAATTACTAAATCACTGCATGTTGTATACGTTTACTGTGTAGATCACTAGGTTCGTTGCAATCAGGTTCAGTATATTGATCCAAAGTTGAACAAAAGTTTTTTTCAGAAGGACCATAATTTTGGTCTTAAATTGTTTTTTATTCTTGACACGAACAATTTCTCTAATTTCTCCAATTTCTCTTTGAGTTTCAGCATGGTAAAATGTTTTGTGAGAATAAATATATTCATACTTACTACAAATTAAAATTTTTTCTTCAGAAAAATTTTGGCTAAATATGTCTATTTAAAATTTTTTATCAATCTTAAGAGTTTCTTGGTTATTCTATGAACTTTCTTGATAATTAGACTCTGTACTAATATTATCAGTAATCACTTCAATCATATCTTGTTTAAATTATGAATTTTTAATTTTGATATGACAATAGGTGTTGGTTCTTGCCGAAGCCTTTGTTCCATAAAATATTTACGCCTATAATAAAAAGAATTTTGTAATTTAATTAAACTAAAACTTATTTTGCTAATTGTACACATTAATTATGTTTATTTATCTACTTATAATTGCAGCTTCATTTACTTTTTTTTTTTACTTGTACGCTGTAAGAAATATTGTAAATCAGCTTGGACTTAATAATTCCTGAGACTTTTTATCACTAACAAAATGATCACTACATATGTAATCGTAAGACTTTGGAGACCATGGTGAATCATCATCATCTAAATATGAACGTATTAAAATGTAAACCTTATCATGATATGCACAACATATATATTCAATGTAGCAGAAAGTAAGGTTATGGTGCTTACTTTATTCTCCTGACCCCAGCGACCCATTTTCCTTTGCTCTATTTTCAACTTGCAGATGGAAATTTGTACAATTTGCACTTGTTATTTTCAACTTGCAGATGGAAATTTGTAAAATTTGCACTTGCTATTTCTGTTAGTATTTTTGCAATTAACGCAATAACTACAGTGAGTCATTGTGTTTTAATTATATAACTTAAATCAACAAAATAACAGCCTGAATTAATGCTCAGTTTGGCCGCATAGCACACTAGCGTAAATTTTTAAATCCTCTCCAAGTTTATGCACCCAGCAAATACATAGAGTTAGGTGTCGTGATTGCGTGATTTAGACAGCCAATCAGACCGTTAATGTTTCATCTCTGTTTTCTACGACTATAATTACGACTAAACTTTTACATTAAAAATAAAGTAATTAATGAAATCGTTATCGTTACCCCAAAAATAAAATTGCGTTACCATGAATGTTACTCAGAAGAAAATAATGTCGTTACACATTCGTTATTGAAAAAAGTAACTTGTAACGGTAACGATGTTACAAATAACGCATTACTTGCCAACCCTGAAAATAATATATTTATTGTATAGCATCAAGAAGGATACAATATACTACTAATAGTTTTTCTATGGGAGGCGCTTCGGAGATTTCAAGGTCCATTTTTTTAAATGGAATTGTGATTTTTTGTACACTATATGATTTCTCTAATTATTTTGCACATGAAAGTGTTAAGGTAGTGATATCAAAAAATCAATAGTTTATGAAATATTTTATAAATTCTAGCAAATATTGACATAAAATATTAAATAATTCGTAAACTATTAATTATTTGTATAATCATACCTTAATATTTTTATGAGCAGAATAATGAGATGAATCAATTGATGGAAAGAAAACACATAGGCTGCATTCCACTTAACGCTCACATCATTCGTGGAATCATCCTTGACGTTTATCGAATATTAAACAAGCACAAACGATGCTCGCGAGCATTGCGAGTGTTAAGTGGAACGCAGCCATAGTTGCTTTCCACAAAAAAATATAAGGCACTTTGCACTTATATTTATTTTTTTTAATATAATATTATTAAAAAAAAATAAATATAAGTGCAAAAAGGATAATATTTTTAAATAAGCAACTATGTGTTTTCTTTTCATTAATTTATTTATCTCGTTATTTTACATATGAAAGTATTAAGATACGATTATCAAAACATTAATAGTTTACGAGTTATTTGATATTTTATTTTAATATATGCTAGAATAAAGTATAAAATATCTTATAAACTAATGGTTTTTTTATATCACTATCTTAATACTTTTATATGCAGAATAATTAGAGGAACCATATTGTGTAAAAAAATCATACAATTCCATTTTTAAAAATGGAAATGATTTTGAAATCTCCGAAGCGCCTTCATTCATAAAAAAATTATTAGTAGTATATTATACCCTCCTTGATACTATACAACTTCAATAAATATAATATTTCATATCTCTAAAAATAGCGGAACTATTCTAAGTGAACAGAGTTACTATCCCATCCCGTATAATGTAAATATAATTTAAAAATTAAATTGAAATAATTTATTAATTTTTATGCTTTATACTTTGTTTGTGTATTACATTTTTACATATTATTTTTTAAGTATTTTAAATATTTTATTTTTTTCATAGGAAAGATGAGCATTTCTACATTATCAAGTAATATAATCTGTGTTTCTATCTCCTATAAAAATATTAAATCTTTATAGTATACTTACAATGATTTATATAAAAAATTCTCTTTTTGTTGTAAAAAAAACAATTAGATTTTCAATTTTTCAATTTCTTTGTGCAATTTCCGGATTATTCGGCTTATATGGTTTTGCCGAATGAAATCCAGTTATCCGGCTTTATTGGATACGACCCGATATTCGGTTATTCGACAAATCTTCATCTATCCTTGCATCCCTAATTAAAATGTAGTATGTAAATTTTTACGAAAAACATATTGTATCTATTTTGCATTAGAATAATTTACAATTTCATATCTATAATAAGATAAAAGTTCCAACGAATTAAATCAAAAATAAAAAGCCTATGTAGGTTGATACTAGTTGTTCATGTGTATAAAATATATTTAAAAATTAAAAGACGCATTTTGACTTTGGATTTGGATCCTTTTCAATACAAAAATAGATATAATAAATGTTACAAAAGTTAGTAAATAAGTATTTTTTCAAACAGTATTGTGTTAAACTATTGTCCAAATAATTTTACAATTTTTTTGGTAATTTTTTTTATTTTTTTTTTTATTTTCTTGGTAGTTTATAAAATGTTTTTCGTATATTTTAAAAGATTCTTATCTTATTATGATAATATTTAATAATTTGCCAAATTGTCTCACCGTTTATCATTAACATGGTAAATTTTTTAGCGAATTTTGCGGTAAAATATAATAAAAAATATTCTTCGTGTATAAAGTTTAAATCAACTCTAATCATTTTTAGCGCAAGACTAAGATATTAAGTTTCATTGTCCTTATAAAAGAAAAATAAATCCATACGAAATTGAGTCTGTAAACTTCTTTACAACTTCTACTCCATTTACTATTTCTGAGTTTATACTCTTTATAAGTTAGGAAACTATAATTATTAAGTGCCAAGTATAGTTCCTCGAACATTGACTTTAGTCAATCGATATGTTATTACAGTTAATTGTTACCTTGCCGCATAAATAAAGCTCAGGCAAGGGCTCCAAATTGTTGTGCCCATGCGGACTAGGAGTGGGCGGCGAGCCTTGAAGGGGTGGTAACCATTGCCCTCCTAAATAGAGTTGACTTGGCCGCTTCAGCCTTTTTTCTTGCCTCCTACGCTCATGACGAACAGCCACCGCTGGCATAGCACCAATCATCCTAATTAAACAAAAAGCCAGCACTTTTATGTATACTATTCGTCAAAAGAAAAATATGGTAATTGCCGAATTCCGTAAACATGACTTACCAGAATTAATTAACAGAGCACGATATATCTATTAACAAACGGTTTAATTGAATCTAATATTGGTTTTTCAATATTAAATTGCAAAGTATTGCAGGCGAATACATTTATATATATATACATATATATAAAAGACTAGCAAATTCGAAATCGAAATCGAATCATCCTTAAATAGCAAAACCTAAATAACAGAAATTTATATTTTATTTCATTCTAAAAAAATTTGTTAAAAAAAATAATTAAATTAATAATATTCTTACTAAATATTATTTAATTTCAGCACTATTTCGAGGCCACTGCTTTGTGCGAATTATCAAAATATCTCCGAATCTCTCTGTTTAGCAGTATTATTTTTTATTTACCGACGATAAACGTTTCAATAATCTATTAAAAAGAAGAGCATTATAAGAGTAAAACTTTTTAGTGGCGCGTAGCATTTTGCGATATGGACTGACACCGGCTTACTTTTGCACCAAATGCATTATGAACTTTGGTGACCTCGGTTGACCTCGAGTCGGTCGATACGTCATTGCATCCACCCTCCGGCCTGCAGTCGATGCAGCAAGTTGCAGGAGGTCATTCCAGGTAGAAAAAGAAAAAACACTCGGATACATTTCGACTCTATTTCGTACTTATCAAGATTTATCGTTAACGAAACAATAACTCTAGCGAGCTGTCGTCTGACTAAAAAAAACTAATCGGAGATCAAGATTCTTTTTTCTCCTCCCGATTTGAAATACCAATGTATACAAGATAACTCAAACATATAATCGACTGCGGTCCGAAGCGAATAAAAAACCTCATAATAAATAAATAAACGCGCATGAATAAGTAATAATTCAATTCGTAGAATGGAGTGGGAAATTTCTAAAAACGTAGAAGAACAATCATTCCTTAAGAATGAAGCATTTCATAATTTATTCTCGAAAAATTCGTGCATCAAGTTGTATATAAGTGGTACAATAGAGAAATCGCAGTAAGAAAAGCTTTTAACTTTTTTAAGATAAAAATTGTAACTATCGTAGTAATCATAAAACAGCATTGATGTAATAATTTCATAGTAAGTAATAATTACAACAACGGTCTTCTTATTGTGCAACGATCTTTGTAATATTGACTTTATCTTTTGCAAATACACGTTTTCACGCGGGGCGCACTAAGTAGATAAAAATAGCGCATTGATAACAGAGTACGATATAAACGATAGTCGCGTATATCGATCTCATCTCTCTTATATCATGTCCCCTATAATTCCGACCCTTCAAGTAAAAGTATCCTTACACGTCATAGTAAATTTCGCGATAAATATAGTAATATCTCTAAATCTCTTCAAACAGATATCATCCATCATTTCTCGCTACGTTCCGCAAACATAGGGATGCAACAGATATCCGGCAAATATCCGATATCCGTGCTATTCGGCCTATTTTTTATAATCCGGGCGGATAATTCGGCCGGATTGTGAAAAAGTTATTTTCTACAATTTGAATAGAAATAATTACGCATATTTAAAATTTAAATTTTCAAAATATTTTATATGGATATTTGACCTATGGTAGAAATATATAAAGTGTAGCATTCCCGTGGATGCGCAGTCATCGCTCTACTCAAACAATGGGATACGTCCTTCAAAATGCACACGAAGGAGCACGATATAGTATGAAGTCGCCCGAAACCGTGTGCCGTGTCCGTATCCATGTCTTCTTGATTAGTCTTTGCAGTTTGCGAGTTTAATTCAGTTTAAGGTATTTCTCCGGCTACAATCGCGCTAGAAAATTAATCGCGTACAATCTACGAATATGCCTCTCCATTCATACTCTCTGAAGAGAGAAATTTTTGAGGCGAACGTACACACGCACGCATAAAACATATGTGCGAAAAGAAGAATTTTATCAAATTACAAATTTAAACTACTCTAATTCAGAAACGGCACCGCTAGGCCTCCCCATTTTTTTTTATAAGGTTTCTATAATATTTCTACATTACATATTTTTTTTTTAAATCTGTAGAAGATTTTTGCCGCAAAGTATTAAAACATTATTTCGGCAAGGTTTGATAGAAGTTTACGTAATAAAAGCTGAAACTTTGAAGGCGAATATTTCTATTTCAGCACCGCTAAGGTCTTTAAAATTTTAACCATATATAAATAAAATTATTTTAAACATGACATCCAAATTTCAAAAAAATCTGTAGAAACTCAATTTCTTGGAGAAATACTTTAATTCATTTGCAAAATAAAACTATGCCATGATACAGTGTATCTCTAATTGTCGAAATGGATCTATTAATCCTGCAGCAAAGAACGTAAAATATTTTACATTTCTAAAGAAACTTGAAATTCGACAACAGTGGCTCAACGCGTGCCAATAATAGCAAATAATAAGTTTATTTATAAACTCAATATACTATACTACTACAATAAACTACACAGTACAACATTCCCTCTCGTGAAAAAATCAAAGAGATTCTGAAAGTAGATGTAAAAAAAAATATCTGTGTCTCAGCGTTTTCACCAGATCAAATCGTTAACGTTTTTTATGCAGCCATTTATCGTATTTGTTTCATATTGGTTTTTTTTAGAATTGTTTTAAATTATATAATAAATTTTTAAATAAATAATTTACGTTTTTACATGTGAAATTATGCAATGAGTCCGAAACAAAAAAACAACTGAGAATTATTTTTTTCATATATTTTCAAATTTTTGTATAATAATAATAATAATATAATTATTATAAGAATCTTGATTGTTTGATTTGCCATTTGTATGATTCTGGTTTTGTATCACAATAAATCAATAATATTCACCAAGCATGTGTCTGATGTCTTTTCTTTTGAAGCGTTTCTCAATGATCGCAATGTCTTGGTGAAAGCGTTCCTCACTGAATTCAAATTTGGTGGAAAAAAAATCCAAATGATTGTGAAGAAAGTATATTTTGAGTGAAAATATATTTTGAGTGATATGTTAATTTTCATTGCATGAAAAGCTGAAATCATTTCAGCAACAGTTTCTTTGTAATTGTCAGCTTTTTTATTGCCCAGAAAATTTTCGATGTCGCTTTGTTTAGGTCGCGACAATGTCGAAGTAAGTCAGTACCGAGATACGGGTATACTTACCTAGCATTTATTTTCTCTTTAAATTTTTCATACGGGAAATCTGTGCTGTACAGTATTATAAAAAGACATTTGATGATATTTAAAATGTTAACGACTTGATCTGGTAAGACACGGATATTTTTTTATATATACTGTCAGAATCTCTTTGATTATTTCATGGGAAGAAAAAAAATCGATTTTTTTCGTATTGTGTAATAAAAACAAATAATTATTGTCGCATTATGTGTTCTATTATTTGATATATTTGATGTATTGTAACAATCAAAACATATGTAAAAGTTATTGGTTGTATGAAGGAGACATTACTTTAGAATCTATGTATAACAAATTTGATGATAAAAGTAAGTCAGTTATCGCTTCGTTCGGCGGTTATTACTTGCAATTGCAGCGACGATGTATTGTATGTAATGCCATTTTCAATTTCATGCTAAGCCCCTTGCATATTGAAGGAGGTATTTCATTGGCGACCCCCACCATACCATACAGCCAGGATGCGTAATCTGACCAATCTATAAACGACATACTGTTTCTTTAAATACTTTTATATTTAAATATTTATTAACATATACATATTAACACACACTCGATTATGCAATCGGAATTTTCGCAATCGAAACAAATCTACGAGGGCAAGTCAATAAGTTCTTAGAAAATCTATCAGAGGTCACGCGTAGTGTCATGTCACATTACTTTTTGACAAATAGCATCTTTCAGCTAATTACTATCAAATTTTGAGCGGAATTCATCGCGTGGTTTCATTTCTGTAGACGATTAAAACGAACCTTTGTACTTTTTGCAAAATGGAAAAAATGAGTTTCGTGCAATAATCAAATATATGAAAGATTTAACGCCGAAAGAAATCAAAGCCGAGTTGGATAATGTTCATAGCACATCTGCACCAGCGCTTGCGACTGTATACAATTAGGTGAATGAATTTAAACGTGGTCGTACATCCACATGTGATGCACCTCATTCGGGATGTCGAATTGAGGCTGCTAGAAATCATCGATACAGTCCACGATATTATTTTGACTGATCGACGAGTGAAAGTGCGCGAGCTTATTGAGGCCACAGGCATATCACATGGCACAGTTATTATTTCAATTTTGTACGAACAATTGTGTATGAAAAAGCTATCGGCAAGATGGGTGCCGCGTTTACTCACTGTGGACCATAAGCGCGACCGTGTGATTTCAAAACAATGTTTGAAAATATTTCAACGTAATCCAGATGAATTTCTGCGTCGATTCATTACTGTGGACGAAACATGGATCCATTACTTCACACCCGAGAACGAAGGAACAGTCAAAACAATGGACTTCACCAAGTGAACCAACTCCGAAGAAGGCAAAGACCACGAAGTCGGCCGGAAAGGTGATGGCCACAGTTTTTTGGGATGCATACGGTATAATTTATATCGATTACCTTCCGTCGAAGCAAATGATCAATGGTGATTACTACGCAGCCTTATTGGACCGTTTCAACAACAGTTTTAAAGAAAAAACGTCCTCATTTGACGAAAAAGAAAGTGTTCTTCCAAGACAATGCACGGGTTTACACGTGCCCGCCATGGCCAAATTCAAATAAATTTCACTACGAATTGCTTCCCCATCCAGCACATATTTAGCCCCCTGCGGTTATTTCCTGTTTCCAAATCTGAAGAAATCGGAGAAAAGAGATTCACCATCAGAGAACAGCTCATCGCCGAAACAGAGTCTTATTTTAAAGAATTGGACAAATTATATTATTCGGACGGCTTGAAAACGTTGGAGATTAAGTGTATCGAGAAAGGAGACTA